CCGTACCGTAAGCTGCAAATGCATACAAATCTATTTGTAGATATTATTTATTGTGCAGTATGTTATACAGTGTGAAATTTCGTTTGTGTACAAGTTTGTCTGTGTGTAAAAATCCGAAAGCGCGCTTAGAATCGCAACAAAGTTGCAATCGAGTGTCATGCATCTCATTAGCATATCATTATATCTTCTGGCCTTTGTTTTTTGAAAAAAATTCCCACTGTTACCGAAGTGAATGCTCTAATTAAAGCCGCACCAAGACTTCACGCATCTGAATTCGTCCATTGAAAAAATGAATTTTAATTAAAGCCGCGGCCTCAATTAGGAATTTTACGTTACTATGTCTTTTCTTAGTACCAACATTAAACAAAATAGTTCCACTAATTTCTGAGAGCTGTTGTTAAATGGATGAACAAACAGATAGGTGGAACGAAAACACAAATCCCTGTTCTTTTATTTACAGAGCCTGGCCTCCTAAAGGAATCATTGTTGAGATGCAGTTAGAGCCATTAACTATAAATTACAGGCTTGACGAACAAGAGTTACAAAAACTCTGACATCTCTTGAATTACAAATGTTCAACTGGGGAATTTTTAATCTACAGCAGGTGACATAATCAAGAATGTTCAGATCAAAATTATAGTTTAAATACTTACTGAATTTGATCATTATTAATCTCATCATACTGTTTATTCAGTTTATCTAAATTATAGAACCATTCATAACCACCAGAAACCTGTACAAATCCAGGTGCTGCCTCCATCACTTCATCTCTGTTAGAACCTGGCAACCACCACACCTTCAAAGCAAGAGAGAAAATGGAGAAGACAATGTTACATTGATAAACTCTTACTTGGTAGCCAACATAAACATACTGTACCATACATTTGTAGCAAAGCAAACTTTTTGGGCATTAAGGCAAATGCTGTTAATGCGTCTGTACAGTTTAACATTTTCACCACCAGAGTTTTACGCCCACAAATTTTCTGCATTTTTTTTCTTATATTTGTCAATACTTTGTGGAAAAGAACCCTAATTTGGAGCCAACAGACACAATTTGAGTCAATTTTCAGTTTGTACTCAAATAATTTGGCTATTTCTGTCCCAATCTTAAGGAAAGTGCAGACTTTTATAAACGGGACTATTTTATGGATTTGTGATGAAAAGAGGGAACTGGTGGTAAAATAGTTAAGTAGTTTTTCTGTATACAAAGTGGAAATGCAACATTAATATGCAAACATCTCATATGGAATGAAAGTAATTACTTCATAATCCTAAACAGTCCTGTAGAAACATATGCAAAAATAGAAAAATAAAACTTGTATTTGATAAGATTGTGTTAATGCCACTCACCAAGTGCTGGGGAAGTGATGATGTTAATGTCAGATTGACCACAAGTTCAATCCATGTTTCATGATATGTATGATTTTCTGGTGGTTGATGTAAATCAAATAAAACTATTTTATTTTCTTGAGCTGCATACTCCAACCAGTCAGTATACTTGGGTATGGTTTGATTACTATACCAATTTTTAGTTGTTTCTGACAGGCTATCAACATTACGAAATGGATCTGTCTGTAAAACAAAAACAAATTTGTTGTAATGTTTGTCACTGAAACTTTCACTTTGATACTTTTAGTTTATACAGTTATCTTGCTTGTAGTGTTTAGAATTCCTAATCATATTTTGCTCATTAAAAATTTTTGAAAGGTATGGGGTACAGAGTTATTTAACATCTTTCATGGTCATTAACAGGTCATTATAGAAATGGAGTTTACTCATTAATGCCACCATTCACGATAGTGGATACTACATGTATAACATAATTATTTGGAAAAGTAAAATGATTTCCAATGATCAGGTTTAGTCAAATCCGGGGGCGTTTCAGAAGGCATGGATACCAAGTAAAAAAATTAGTTAAACTTGATCTTACAAAAGTGTGTGTACATGTATGTGTGTGTGGGAGGCTTGGATGTTAAATCAACAGAATACTGGTAGCATAGTGGTTGTCGCATCAGACTCATGATCGATAGACCCAAGTTCAAATCCTACATTAGGCTGCATATCAAAGGGTCAACCCCTACCCTGGGTGAGTGTGCCACAGACTCAATGGGAAGGCCAATTCCACTGGCCGAGATCCATTCACTAACAAATGCGACTTTGGGGGAACTTTGGTTAAGGTCTGCAGGTGCAGGTGACCACCCTCCTGCTTTAATACACATGTGAAGTTTTACAATTCAACTAATTTTAGAACAAAAGTAACTCAGCTAAGTAAAATATGATTATGATAAAATATGTTATGCAATAAACGACACAGTACAAACATCAACTCAATGGAATGGAAACACAACTGATTTTTTTTCCCCCCAATACATGGTTCCACACAACTTTTGTTTGGAAAAATCATATTATGACTATGACAATATTGATGAGATGGATAGATAGCAATGTGTACATACCGTAACATACCAGGATCCTGCATCTAGTTTTTTTAAATCCGAAATATTAAATGTAGAAGGGTCATCTGAAGCTCTATCAGGAAAAACTTCTTCAACATTAGTTGTTCTTTCCAATGATTTATCATGTAAAAGAAATGGCACACCATCGGCACTGCAAGAAATATAAATTGTAATAAGGTTTCATGGTGCATGGTATGGTGCATGGAGTCATTTAACATGGTACTGGGTATTTCACTAGAACTAGCTATTTTTCACCAGTACTGTAAATTTCATTAATTATATATGATAAGTAAAATTCGCAAAATTAAATGCACATGAAAATATAAAATAACAGTACAATACATAGTTTTCTCTGGAAAATTCATGACATTAAGTGAATATGCTTGAAATAAAACCGTTCTACAGGAACTCAAAATGTAGCAAGTGACATTTTTTAGGGAAGGTGGTTTTTGAATTTAACAAATTAACTCCCTGGTTATTATACTGAGAAATCAAAATTAAAAGACCTGGCAATTTGTTCTTTCTTAGTACTTTTTTATCCTCCTCTAGTTTGTACTAACTTTGTGAACACAACTTGTTCTTTGGATTAGCCTTAATTTTCAGTCCTTCCTATAGTGAAGCCTATTTTACAGGATAGGGTATGAAGAACCATGTCTAAATCCCTACTGTCTGTATGCTATGTACTTTGGATACAGGTAAGTCTTCTATTTTCCATTATAATCAACATTTTAAAAGTCTGCCTTTTAATCTAGGGAATCGAAGGGGCAATTTAAGATCTTTTTCAACCAATAGTTTCATCTCATACATCTGTGGCCCAAGTGTAACAATCCAAAAACGTAAATATTAGTTAGATATTTACCTTATCTGGACATCAGACTCAAAACCATATACACTATATTTTGCTGATGTAACAAAAGCACTCATAGTGTTTTCTGGAGCAAGCTGCAAGAAGAAAAAAGATGGACCAGTATGTTATGACCAGTATCTATGAGTTTCATACAAATAAACTGAGAATGAGATTATTATTCAAGACTTGCCTGTTGTGCTCCTCTGTGTCCAACTAATAATGGTTTTCTTGGTATAACAGTTGTCACACAAGGCGAGTTCATTAATAATGGACTTAAATACAGAAATAATGTTATACAGATATAAACAGATAACACTCCTATTTTAAGTCCTGTTGGAGTAATCAAGAAATAATGAATATATTTATTGCAATGCAACTCATGTGTATACTTTTAAAAGCAAAAAATATTGCACGTTTATTTGTATTATAGCAAAATAAGTCACAAAGGGACAAGGTCTAAAACTCTCCAAAACTACATACTCTCCAAAAATACATACTCACCAAAACTTCCTGAATCATAAAATGAAATCAGTTTCATTTACTAGTACCGGTATATCTTTTATATTACTTCCCAGGTATACTTACAAGAGGTTCTTATACAATACTATAGCACTTATAGCATGTGTTACAAGTCAATGACAATCATGAAATGTAGCAGCAAAGATAAATGCAATGTTGTCTTCACAAAGATCAAAACACAAAAACTCTCATCAACAAAAACAGTATTAGCAGGTTTACATGGTACACGTATTGTGTGAAGAAATGAACATACTGACTTACCCATTGAACGAAGTTTAGCCCAAGCCCCAGCAATAAGCCATGTGAGGCAAGTTAGTAACACTACTGCTATTATTTGTAAAATAGGCGCAAATATCTGCAGATAAAGCAGAAAGAATAGATTAGAAACTGATTAAAAGTCAACAAGTCATATCATGACAGGACTGAGTCCCCATAGTTAAAAAAAAACTGAAATGAGTTAGCCATTTTGAATCAGTACATTATATTATATCTTGTACTATATATAATGCAGTTGTAAAGTTTGATTGCTCAGTCAATGTATGGCAAAGACATGTCCATGTTTAACCATGATCCGAGTCTGAATTGGCAGATATGACTGAATTTGTATTTGTTTGACCATCAGTTTAGATTCAAAATGGCTGACTGGAGGCCATTTGTTTGATTGAAGGCTGTTCCAGAGCCATATGCTTGATATGCCTCACCCAATCATGTTCAAACTTTTATGTACATCATGTCACACATATGCACATTAATTTGTTTGACGATTCAATTTCAGATGGCTGAATAGTGGCTATTTTAATGTTAAAAATGTATCAAGTTTGAACATGGTTAGTCAAGGTATGCAAAGATACAGCTTCGGAACCACATTCATTCATCCAAAAAAATGGCCACCAGTCAGCCATTCTAAATCTGATACGAAAGACAAAATGATGTCAGGCTCAGGAATGAATGAAATAAAAAAAGAAAGAAATGCATGATATTCATGATTTTGAAAATATTAAAAGCAGTTTTAAGCAGTTTACAATAGTTTCCAATGGCAAAGCAAAATGACATTAATCAAGGTCCCATGATGTCCAATGTATATACCAAGATCTAGTTCAGGAATAAAAAACAAGCAGTCTTTCGGCTGAAATAGCTACGCTGTTAGCAATGCACATTTCAATTAAAGAACTGAAGATATCATCACGAAATGAACAAATTGAAGAAAGGTCTACCTTTTTACCAAAAATGACAAAAATATTCATAAAAATTAGAGAATTTAAGATATCATCACAAAATTGTAGTTTTCAAGAAGAAGTCGAGAAAGTGAAAAGTTGACACGAACAATCACTCATATGATAAGCTCCGCTCGACAGCAAAGCTATTAAGCTTGAGTTGATGATAAATTTTTAACATTAAATCAATTGAATGGAAGTGCAAATGTATCCCAAAATATATAATGTTTGAATGTGATTGGCCAAGGAACAGATGGGGACACACATGCACGCACACACACACAGAGTCAATTCAAAAGTGAATTGTTTTTGGAATGCATCGAAACAGGTATATTTTCATAAAGGTATTGCACTACCAAGTGTTCAAAACAAATCAAATTAATACCAAAATAGGAGTAGCACAAATATTGCGGCCAATCTGGTTTTGAAATTTAAACTTAGATGGCAAAAATATCACTGGTTGTCATACAGAAAAAGCACAGAACTTATGTCATCAATAATGTACAAAATCAATTCATGGCTATGGTAAAACGAGGCACTAACACTAATTCATAAAAATTACAATTACTCACAAAATTTAAATTTCAACTCACCAGAAAACTTAATCTT